GATCTTAAACTTGAAAATGGGTTTGCGAATGATCCTTACATTAAATGGAATTCGAATTGTAATACTGGTGGTTATAATTATAAGAAATGGGTGTGGGAACATTTGTTTCGGATTCGCCGTTATGGTGATCGCTAAAGCATCATATCATAATGAACAAATCGACAAAAAGTCAACGACATCAATGAAAAAGCCGATATGCAATCATGGTTATCAGAGAGGAATATTTCATTTGGAAAAAACATGCTGAATTTTCTCGTTACATATAATAGACTGTTTTTTTTTTCACAAGTATATTCTAACTTCACATCACTAATTATTATTTTATGTTGTACCTATCGTATAATTTAAAACGTGTTAGTTAATGTTTGAATAATTAAAATAGAAATTTTCGAGGAGATATTGGAATATATTTGTGATGATAATTGAATAATGATGATAACATGGTTCCAAGATTTTTAGGAATATATTCCAAGCAGATATACTACGATAGCAGTGGGGTGAGATGCAGAAAGTGTGTTTATAAAGTATCAGTATTTAGATTTATGTGTACGTTTGTGCAAAATGTTATTCCGTTGTTCAGTTGAATGAAATTGTTATGATTATTTCGGATTATTCATATCTAAATTTTCTATATGGCATTTACATGTTACAGACATGTAATCTACTCAAATATAAAAAAAAATGGTTTAGGTTACCCCCCTTTTTTACCCATTTTCACATTATTACCGTCGTATGATAAATTTCAAAAATGAATTTCGATGACAAATAACATTTCGTATTTGTGTTCATTTCTGTAGGAATCAAATAATTTCAAAGGGTTTAGGGTCGTCAGTATTTTAAACTGAAACGTTCTTGTTTTATTTTTTCCAATTCGATAAAAAAAACACCTTCCAAAAAATAAAATAACATTATTATACATTAAAACATTATATAGCGGTCAGTAGCTGGCTGTTTAGCGTGAGTGATTTTTCTACTCATTCAATCGACAGATTCGTGAGGGTTGGTTCGATTGTAAACTGTGGAATTTTCGATTTTTTCAACGTATCGTTCGACCCGTGCTAAGAATTGCACATTAAACTCGTTCATCATTGGTTTGCACCAATGTACCACAGATAAGTGAGGTTAAGTGGAAGAGCAATTGAATGATGACTTGACATCATGTAAATTGAACTTCGCCTTTTATCTTCACATAATAAATGAACTGTACATTATCAATTTGCTTTAAATGTATTAGAAATAATAAAGACGATATTATTATTATTTTTATAAAATCGCAGGGTCATCTATCAGATCTCTACAGTACAACAATAACCTCAAAAATATTTCAACAAGTTTTAGGTTGCACATTGAACGTTATCATGTTATTCCATAAATTTATTTCACGTGCATACCTTTTTGTTACGCCCATGTTTATTAAATCCTTCTTTCTATATCAGGTTAGGCTATGGTCCGGAAGGTAAATTATTATTTTTTTATCGGCCAAGACAGAATAAAAACGTCCACATGTCCATTCCACCATAAATTTTGGTCCAAACAGCACCGAGCATAAAAATATTTGTGAACACTTGGAGTGAAATTCGAATTTAAATGTGTTTTTGAAAATATTAGTTGGGTGATAATTCATTTTAGAACTGCCACACAATAAATTNGTCAAATCACCAACACTGACATGAAAGCTTGGCAAGTTGACTTGAGTGTCACACCAATAGGTGGTTCTACTCATGTTTCGCTTGCGTTTGCGCATTTATTTCTATTAAGTAATTTTCTTGATTATTCACATTTTGGTACAATTGGGTGCATCTACCCAAATATTGGTCTGTGCGGTTCTCCATATAGATATAGATAATAGATTATTTACTGCAGAAACTAATGACCAATGATGATTTCATATGTTACAGTGGAGTCGATAATGAGTCATGAGGTCTTTGTGAAAAAAAAAATTCATCAAATGTTCTCATTATTCGAATCAGTGGCAGGCAAACGTCTTCAACAAATTCGTTAATGAAGAGTTAAAAACAGGTTCTCTTCAACGTAATTGTAGTAGTAATATCGGTACCTGACATGCCATGTGGCTATTTAATTTCCATTAAAAATAATTCCATAAGTAATTGCATACTTGACCGCTTCATATGCATACATTTTTCAAATTATTGATTCCAAAAGGTAATTTAATGAGCAAGTGTAGTCTTAAAACCCGCTTTCTCATCTCATTTGCCAAATTAACATCTGACAATTTAGTTATATGTATGCGTACGTTACTCTCTACGAAAAAATAAAGTATGCGGAGATCAAATCGGAAGGTGTAGTTTATGAAATTACTATGAATCCTCATCAAGTAACGGCCGGATCAATCAGATAAATGAAATACTGCTGTTGAAAGAGCATTTTTTATTCGAAATCTGGAAACAGATTCTAGTTGAATAGAAGTGTTCGAGTGAGTAATTTGTAACCGCGACAATGGTTTTGATTTTGAAGGATTTGATATTTTGCTTTGAGATATATGAGTAATGTTTCTGATACTGGAATATTACTGAGAAGGGAAATTAAAATGATTTGAAAGGGTTATATTTTTAGGAGTGATTAATTTTTTGGGAATGAAAGTTTTTGGCTTTCTACTACTCCATCTGATACAAAAAAATGGATGAGAGAATCTTCCAAAGAAAGGAAGGATTAATCAATTTGAAAATAAGTAACTCTATACATGGATGTGTAGATCATGCAAAGAAGTAACTCTTGTGAATGATATCTGATTCTTATTCCTCCACAAATGTTCGATATACAAACTGAATAGAGAAAAGTATCTTCTGTATAATTCAGTGTTTTTCTCAACAACACTTCGTGTGACGAAGCTAGCGAATGAAAAAAAATAGATCTTCTAACCGAATCAGAAGTTCCTAACGGTCTGAGTTAAGATATGTTACTCATTTGAATCATCTCATGAATACAATTTGAGATCATATAGCAAGGAATTTAAAGTAATTTGACATTATCACTTACCCTGATTGTTGGCCAGTTTTTCTGTTTTAATGACTACCGCCTTATTACTGGATAAATATCTCAAATACCTTCCTTCTAATTGAACTAAACTTGTTCGACACTAATTGACCTGAGCTTTTTCACCTGCTCAGGTATTTTGAATAACAGCATTCATTTTGTTGTTGAATTTAGAACATTCCTTCACTGAATCCGTTTTCTGAAAAAATGCAGGTATAAAAGCTTCCTGTGTCCAAAGAAACCGCCCGCTGGAGAATCGGCTACAAAGCTGAATGAACGGTTTTCGTAATAAAAGACGAATACAATACGACAATACGGAGGATACAGGGTGAACTGCTGTAGCTCTTCATTGAAGTAAGGTAATGCTGCGATCGTATATAGAATACTGAGAATTTCTACTGAGTGGATTCAAGGAATGAAGATATAATGAGGGATTGTAAGACTTTGTGAGGAATAAAACATTCATTCATAGGTACCTATTTGAAATTTTTTGTGAAAAATCAATGAAATCAATGAATCAATGAAATTGCGCGGAAACTATCTAAAATACGTCAGGAACTCTACAATGAATTGATAATTGATTTTAATATTTATTTTGACGAATTGTGAAACGTGCGACACGTACGAAAGTGAGGTTAGTAATCCCTCTCGAGTGATTCCCTTATAAGAGATAATAAATATACTCAACAATTTAGCTCTAAGATGTGCTTATTAATTATTACATCTGAACAAAATGAATTGATATTCAGATGATGTGGTGCTGCAGGTTTTTCCGGGTTTTCCTGCAGCTGAAAAAGCAAATGCGCCACTGGAATCAATTGATTTTTATTGTATTTTCATCGTTGTTTTAATAGATACATACTTTCTTTTCTGAGTATTTACCAATTTTTCTATATTCATTTACTTCTGTCAATCTATGTAAATTCTTCTGAAAAAACGAATATAATGTCGAGAATTTCTAGTTTTGCTCTGGTGGTTACATCAAGTATATTAGCTTGCATAAGCCTGAGGGTGGGGAACGAATAGTTCCCCGTAGGTGGTGATAACAGAACCTCTATACCCATCACGCGACTGCAGTAAACTGAGGTGTTGAAGACACAATCCTGGCAGGCCATGATGAGCCCCTCAGTTTCCGACTTCAGCGCACTCGACCTGAAAAAGGCGAAGGTCAGGCGCTTTGATAAGCCAAAGTCTTCAATGTTGTTGAATAAGACCCCCATGCATTGGTTTATCCTTGTATTGCCGCATGAGTCAAGTGATCTCTGTTCAACCCGAATCTTTTACCGTCTAATATCACACACCATTTGCCTTTTTTTATTAGGTAATGCAGGCAGAATTATTATTTTTATCTCAGGCGTCCCGTTTAATTAGCTACAATTTAAAAAAAAATCATATTCTGAGGTTTTAGGGAATTTCCAAGTCACTAAATTATTACACCGAGAGTAGGTGTTTACACAACGTTAGTTTTAGTAAAATCGATTGTTAAAAATCATCCATGAAGATGCCGTGTGAACTTGGTCAAATCCTTTAACCTTCATGAGAGTTATCGTTGCAGAATTATGAAAGTAATTCATCAAATTTTATTCTAAAATGACATATCTACGGTGAACTCAAACCTCATGGAGTATATACCTATCTAGTGTAGAAAATGCTTTGAAAAATTGAACTAAAACATCTGGAATCATTCGACAGATTTCTTTTTACGTTTCTCTGAATGTCTATTGAATTTGAGTGTCTATTGAAAAAATAATATTTACTGGAGTTAAGAAATATTTCTATTTTTTATAAAAAAAGGAATGTCATGTCTCATAAAAAGGGTCCTATTTCTTAAACAGAATTTCTAAAAAAACAACAATAACAACAACAACAACAGAATCAGTAAAAGTTCAAAAATCACTGATGAATCAATAGCATATACAAACTCGTGATATTATCATTCTTATTTGAGTCTTTCAGCAATTATAAGAACATATTTTAAATTCCTTTACATATTTAAAAGTACCCACCTTCAAGTTGATTTCCTTTTTACATCGACTATTGAAGTCTCTCCGAAGAAATCCAATTTTCATAAATATCGATTAATTCTTGAATACTCGTTTCGAGTGACTAGCAGACAATATTTCACTAAAATATCACAGAACCACGAAAATTGCACTTATATGGCACTAATAAAAAATCACAGCCAGAAAATGAATATTTACAATGTTGAGACCACTAGGAAACACTAGAGAATAGTAGTAGTGTTACTGGATGATAATAATTACATTCCTGTTCACTTGTAGTTGTTTACACTCTAGCAATAAGAGTGTTCATGTTGTGGTAACTATGGAAGTTGTTACCTATCGAATCAAAATATGTTAAATACCGAAATCATAAGTATACAAGTATAATATACATTGTTCTATGATATTTTACACATCTGAAGGTTGGTGACGAAAAGTTTCCTCCCGACTGGTCAGACGTCACAAGACGTCGTTCATGTGCACTATCGCGTTGTCAGCACAAAGGTAAACAAAACAAAAGTTATCGTCACCATAGCAACAAAGAGATAGAAATCACGCTCTCGAGTGAGATGTCGAGAAAGGCCTGAACCGAACTGAAGTTGGTGGTTGTTGGTGAAGAGTGCAGTGGTGAGACGAGAGTCCGGCGCGTTGCGCTCGACCACCCATACCGCTAGACCAATCTGAGGCCAGAATGTCTTATTCCCGAACCGACAATATAATAAAACACAATCACGACGACGAAATGAGACCGCGAGGATGATTGAGCCGTGGATATTGCGAACTGCTAGGGGCAGTCAAAGATGGCCGTGAAGGAAGAGCGCGGCGGTACGTGCGCTCGATGACAGAACTAATGATCTCGACTCGCAATTTAGGACCGGTACGTTATTAGGTCTGCGTACCGGATGGACACGTGTAACCAATAAACGAAGTTATTCTCGAGTAATATTTTTAAACATATAAAATGTTAATGTTTCTGGTAATCATGACTAGGTATTAGAGAACGGTGAGAACCAAAAGTGACAGTAAGTCACGCACTTGAAGGTATTGGCAGTAATGCCAATGACATGAAGAATGCACTGGCAATTTTTATCGTTATATTTTATATTGATTTTCGTGATTTCAGATGGTTTAAGCAGGTTCTACGGAAGTGTCTTGAGAAAACGAGTTAGCCATATGTGGCCCACCTATGAAAGATAACATTGGAAGCCGAATCTTGTGTGAGATAAGGATTAACAAGGTGTTATCTTTTCACGTGCGATACCTAGAACGGGTCGGATGATACACAGTTACCATCGATCGTCCCCCATTTGATGGGATCGAACCAACATTCACATATGTTGATTGACTGAGTGGGACGAACCACTTGCGCCAACTAACCGACTATCGTCCAAATACCTACCTTGACCCTATGTGAATACTTAAACGCCATTCACACTATATTAAATGGAGAAAGTATCAGCAGTGGACCCATACAAAATTGTACAATCACAAATACTGTATGTTCTATCACGGACTTGTATTTTTGACCCACCTTGAATTTAAATTCGGTCCGTCTATAAGTGTCTGCCTAATGTTAAAACCCAACAACCTTCGAAAAGGCGATAAACAGTGAAGCTGCGGCGACGGGCTGTATGCGACAGAAAATGTTGGGTAGGTACTTAGTTGAGGATCTGAGACATGTTGTTCAACTATAAGTAATATTGAACACGCCTGAGGAAGCTATTGTATAGTGAAACACGTGCTACAGTCCTTTAAATTGTTTAGTAAAAATCTCATGATAAAGTGTTACTTAAATACGTTCAATTTCATATGTTGCGAATGTGATATAGGGAAGACAACTATCTGAGAACGTTTCTCCAAATGTATTTAATCTCCAGCGATTCAAATCCAATGTGAATCACTACTTTCGCACAAGCACCGATCTTAGAGTGCCTTGAGGATTCCGGTAGTGCTGGTGTTTTTTCCATAAAAAAAACTTACAATAAGTAATTTAGGTAATTCGAACGAGTTGTATCATGAATATATCCAATATTTATATATATTTAACGAATTGCCCAACGGAATGCGTCTTCCTGTCGTATTTCGATAATACATGAATAAGCTAAAAACAAAGTTTACCGAATATTCTGTAGTCTTTGCTAAAAACCATGAAAGAGTTTAAGAAATGACGAATTCACGATGTATCCAAGATCCTGCTTCCTCAACTAACACACTTTTTCAACACTATATACTAAAAATATGAATTATACTGTTTAGTTGATGTTTCCAATTTGTTTAGTTAAATGCACGTCGAGAAAAAAGTTTCATTTCTGATGTATAAGAGCAGTGTTGTGTTTGATTCATTTCACGTCAGAGGTTCTAGTTTTAGCTTGAGTTTGTGTGATGCTTTTACCACCTTGTATAAATTACTGGAAAGTTGTGAAGAGCTATCAGTTAGATTGTAGGTTGTACGAAGATTCAGAGCATTAGTGCTTTGCTTTTCGCAAAATATAGTTTGACATTCGAAAAGTAAGTTTGCGAAGTCAGCTGCAGTGCGATATTCCCATTTGAAGTATGCAATATTTTAGTAGACAGTGTCCTGTCTCAGATTTTTTGTCCAACTGCAAAAGTTGTTCATCCATCATTGGCGATAGACTTATCAACCTTTCCACTTGTCCTTGTCCTGGTACTGTATTCGAGTTATATCTCAGGTAATTGAGTTCTCACTGAATGTTCAATAGTCCCCAGAGTCCGGAGAAATGAATTATATGGCCCTTTTGCCATTAGATCAATTCTCTTGCGGCCTGGCACATTACTATTACATGATTTTTATCTGCTACTTGTCATAAGAAGGTTTGCAGTCCCATGTTAGTTTAGACTTGAACGTAAATGTGTTCAGAGCTATTGGCTCTGTTTGTCTGTCTGATGAATGAACTCGATGGTTGTTTCATTTCTTACCCCCAACTCAATGAGACATAGGTAAGCTTGATGATCGTTTGATCATCAGTAGATCATTTTCGATTTCAAACCCCACGTCTTTCCAAATATGCTGTATATAGCACACCCAAGTTGCCACTGTAGCTTAGGAGAGACAATTGTTCATGAGATTATTTGAAGTAACTTTTTGGTTGATAATCGTGCTTATGTAATTCCTCCGGAAAATGTGGCGAGCTGAGTTTCATTCAATATTGGGGCTCTAAGTGCGTACTTTTGTCTCTTTGCTTGGCTAAACAGTCATTCCTGAATAGTGTAACTTTCTAGCGATCACGTAGTTCAGTTTGATGTGACAGCAAAAGCAAGCGAAATAAACCAGTTAAATAACGATAACTGTTAATAGCTATTGAAGTATAAGTAGTACAAGTTGTATGTTTACAGTTGATAGTGTGAAATTTGCCAAAGGAGAGACTTCAATGACTCTTATTGGAGTTCGACTTTCTAATGGCATATTGTAAATTCCAATATTTTTTATTTGTTTCCGGGTTTTCATTGGACACAGGAACGAAAGAGCTCTCAAAATTAATAATGATCAAATCGAATTTCCATTTTTTTCCACGTTTCTTATATCCTCACATAAAATAGAGTGATTGCTGTACCACAGTACCTATAGGTCTTTAACATTCTACTGTGGCTGTACCTGCGATATACAGTCTTTTTTTACGTTAGACCATAAGATGTCAGATTTTTTTTGTGTCAAAGACCTGACGAAATGGTCTTCCTGAAATCGTCGTCGAATGAGAATGAAAACTCTTTGAGTGAAGAAAAAAGCTCTCATGTTTGAGGTGGTATCTGAAACGACATTACGATTAGGAAGACAATGCATGGAATTCGAAAGAAAAGACTAACTTTGGATGTTTAAATGCGTTCAAGAATAAAAAAAATATTTTCAAAGTAAATGTTGAAAACCGAAACAAAAAAGTATTGAAATCGATCATAAGTTGAACCATTCATTGATAAAAAAGAACATGATATGAATACCAATTTTGTCAACTGTAACTCCGAAAAAAGTTGTTCCTTTGATTGACCATACAAGGACTGAATTACCGATCCTTAATTATCGTTGGCATACAATTCATTATACGCAAAAAAGCTATCATTTCATTTCTCCTGTCAGAAATTAACTTGGAAATAAAGTTGTTGCAGTCTTCATCTCCCATTTCGGCAAGGAGTTATTAAATTCGACACACATTGTGAAACTTTCACAAATTGCTTTGTTTCATCGTCTGATGTGATACAAACATTTGTTCCAGCAAACGGAAGTGAAATCCACTTTTGCAAAACAGCGACAAGAGGAACTAAAAAAGCGTCTACATACAAAACTTCATCTTTTTAAATCTGTTTAAAATATGTTTTTCCGTTAATCAGCTGTCGCCCCCATACGAACGACAACTCTCAGAAGCTGAGAAACTTGTGCGAGCTAAGAACTAACGAGGTCTTACCTTTTAATGTGTGAATTTCGAAGAAAAGGTCCATGAGCGAAACTTCACCCCCTTGCCTGGTGCAGCTGCCTACAATATTTTTTCAGTAGCAGAGAGGGTCTCTTGTTACTCTATCATCTTTGTATTTCTTTCCAAAATTCATTTATTCCTATTGGGATATAGAAAATCAGGAAGTATGGATTTCTTTTGGTACATGGAAAAACAGCCTTTTAAATCAAATATTGGGTGGATACCCTGTAAACTTTCGGAAATTGACGAACAGTTTTAGTTTCTCCCGCACTGGTAGTTTTTGTTGTAAGTATTAAGCACCTCTATTCACCAACATGTTTTTTTATTGAAGAAAGAATATGAGTTGTTATAGTCCTAACACAAATCATTCAAACTAAAATTCTGGCAATACGGTAATGGATAAATTCATAATTCCAACTCCCGCCAAACGGTCATCTCCCACTGAACCAGTGAAGCGGAAAAAGGAAAGCAGATATAAGTGAAAGTACTCAAATGACCTATAAATAGTCAGCTTCACGGAGGAATCGGTCCAGTCATCACCCAAAGACGATTGTGGATACCTTACAATCGAAACGTCGTGAATTAACTTGGCTTGGAGTTTCTTAACTTTTTAATTTTCATTGTATTTATATTTTTTTCAATTTGTTTCATTTTTACTTGTATTTTACTTCACTAATTTTCATTTCAGGTTTTTGCTTAATATAACTGTTTTTTCAGCTATTCATTTTCATTCCTCTTCTTTAATTTTTTAATTCTTCTTTTTAGTTATTTCAGGGATTTCAAATCATTTTATATAATATTACAAGCAATTTTCGACTCTATTGATGGCGGGGAGATGAAATTCAAACGCGAGTCTCCTTTTTCAGTAACGCCATCTAGTAACAGTCTCCTTTTCTGACAAATATAATTTCCATAAGATTATCCTACTAAGTACTATGTTGCTGTATCGCTGCTGTTCCAATGTTTTGACAGAATCAGAATCAACAAACTTAGGCG